CACTTTCTTCTTCTTCATCTCTGTATTTATACTTATTGAACAAAAAATACACAATTAAACAGACAAAGAGACCCTAATCGGCACTCCCCACGAAAGTCTCCCTAAAATCCCCGAAGACTCCGTAACGCGAATTCCCAGGGATTTTTATAGAAGTCCCCTAAAATTCCCGGGGACAGGCCGTAGATCTGTTGGGCCATCATTTTTAATTCCATATAACTAATTATTAATTAAGTGCCAGGTACCATTACTGGTAACAGTGAAGCACATATCAGCCATCGAAGGTTGACACATTAATGTTGACTTACTAGAAGAAAATTCGTAAAATTTTGTCATAGAACTATATTATATTTATATATTGTCTATCTGCAAAACAAACGGTGAATGGGGAGTTGGCAGGGACTCCTCGGAGATTTCACATGTTGGGGATCCCCTAGGGCCTCGCTAGGGAGTCTTCGGGAATTATACCTTTTTCGGGGAATCCCCGGGGACTTTGAGGGGGAGGGTTGAATAGGGGAGTCAACAAAATACACAGTAACAAACATGTGATAAAAAAACAAAAATCTAGCGTCTGAAAGAAATCAGAACATTATCAAATCCAAAGAATTTTACAGAATTTAATCCTGGTTTTGAACAACAATTTTTCCCTTCTTCTCTTGCTTAATTTTTCCTCTTCGCCTCGTAGAGCGTCTTTTAGAATATAACCTAATTAAGAAACTTGTAAACGACGAAATAATAGAAACGTGTTTAATCGACGGTTGAAACGCGTTTCATATGTTGTTTAAACGGCTAAAAAACACATTTCAACTAGTGGCGTAGGCTTACTTTTCCGTTAAAAATGTCGGAGGGCATTGCTTGTGTTTGGACAGGTTGTTTTCTTCTCCAATGAAGACGATGTTTGATCACGTGCTTTGCAAATTGCAAGCACAAATTGCAGAGGGAGGAAGGATGTAAAAGTCACGTGGTAAAAAAATTCGTCGATGAGTATCGCAGTATAATGTAGAATGAAGTGGGGTAAATTTGCACGAACTTCTACCACCTTCTAGTGTTTTAATCATAAATTTTTCTGCGATTTTTTTGCAGACATACAAATTAAACTTTCCTCTATTGATCCATATAAATATCTTTTCAAAATCCTCAAAAATGGGCCAGCTCCAAGACGTTCACCCCGCGCATTTTATCAACCTGCCGCACAGTAGGCATTTTTCTATCGACCTGGTGGACATGCGGTTTTTTTAATTCAAAACGAGACTATTTTTGGTCAGTATTACTTTATTACATTTTAAATGTGATTATAAATTTAAAAAGTTCGGAAAAAAAGGAAAAATCCCTTGCCCTAATTTTGAGTTTTATGCGCTGATTCCAAAAATCACATTATTTTTTATACAAATGTACCTGGACTAAGTAAAACGCATTTTACTTAACAAACCAGGGTTTTTTGGGAACCTATAACAAAGCTCTGGAAAAAACTGCATAAAGCTGCATAGATACAGGGCATTTTGGTATAATTTGTAGTCAAATTCGACCTTGGATGTCCGCGGATGCCTTATTACATTCTAGGTCCTCGTTTGGGAACACGATCGGTTTTGAAAACAATGCGTTTTTCAGAGCTGCAAAATCTTCCTATTTACTCCGACGGTGGTGGGGCGAAAACGTATTGATTCGGAGAAATTTTTTGAAAAACTGGAATTTCTTTTTGCAAAAAGAAATTCTGTTTTATCGTAGATTATGTCGGGGAATTTATTGAAAAACTTTGTCCGTCGAGGGAAATTTGACAATCTCGCGGATAGATTCTGCACCTCTGGTGTTCTCTCCTTGTTTGAGAATACGATCGTTTTTGAAAACAATGTGTTTTCTCCTCGATCGAGGAATCTAAGGAAGAACTTAGTCATGAGTGAATAGTTAAGAATTTCTAGATTAAGAATGGGTAGTTTTTATAAATTCAAACTGACTTAGTTCAATATAAAAAATGATTGCAAATAATATATAGGCAATTATTTGCAGGAAATTATTTTATTGACAACGGGCACTTGAAACAAAAGTTTTAACGTCCTTAAATAGCCCGTAAAGTGAAATATATTTCACACTATTTGAATTTGGGAAGAAAGCATTTTCAATTTCTCAGTCCAGGTATAAAAAATAATGTGATTTTTGGAATCAGCGCATAAAACTCAAAATTAGGGCAAGGGATAGGCTTATTTCGAAAAACAAACAAAAACGCTGTAGTTTTTGAACACATTGTTTTCAAAAATTAGCGTATTCTCAAACAAGGAGAGAACACCAGAGGTGCAGAATCTATCCGCGAGATTGTCAAATTTCCTTCGACGGACAAAGTTTTTCAATAAATTCCCCGACATAATCTACGATAAAACAGAATTTCTTTTTGCAAAAAAAATATTTGCAAAAAGAAATTCCAATTTCCACATTCTCATGTTCCCCGCTTCTGTATGGTCTGAGAAGCAGATAGCTGACTACTGATGAACTAAGTAATTTTGTTTTACAACCGCTTCCTAATTACAGAAAAGTCCAAGTATTGCAAATTAGTGACTAATCGCCAATGTGTTTTTTCATGTTCGACGTATATATTCTCAGTTAGATAAGAAAACAGTTAAAGAAAGGCAGTCAGGACGATTGCGCGTATAGTAAAAGCTAGTCCAAGTTTGCAGCACTTGGACTTTTCTGTAACTAAACATCGGTTTAAAAGACAGTCAAATTTAAAAAATAAAATCATCAATTATTAATGCAGGTAGTGTGACAAGTGCATGGCGTTTTCGTTGTAGTGTAAGGATATAAGATGCCAGAAGAGACTCCACAATCTTAAGTTTGAATTTCAGAGATGAATAATTTTTAAGATATGATCAGCAGAAAGAAAGAATTCGTAAAAGGAGAAAAAAAATGCGCGAATAAGTAGCCTGCTACATATATGGCTAATGAAAATACATGAAATGGGAACATCAAACGACAATGTGCGAGTACAACCAATTGCAAGAAAGTATTCGTTTTGAAATCAAAAGCATACCGTCTTTCATATGGACGAAAACAAGATAGTCAAATGCCGTCGGAAGAGAGTCAAAACAGATCCATATAAGATCGTAGGTTATGCCAGTTAGTAGTAAAGAAAGTCAGATGAACTCAAATTGTTCAAAAAGTAGCGGCTGAGTAATTCACAATAAAATAAAACGGTGAAAAGAAAGGAAGAGAGTGTTTTTCGAACTCAGTATAATGTACGGAATTAGGAAAGTCTAACAAAACAATTTAAAATATGCTTTAGTTTTAGTTATACCTCTAACATAGACAGCATTTATATATATATATAGTATTTCAGGAGAATAATGAATCAAAAACTATCACAATCTATAGCATCTAGTGTGTAGCGTAAAGAGTAAGAATAACTGGAAAGTAACCACGCTAACATTGTAACGGCAATAGAGAACTTTTTTGTCCGAGCAATCCGAGATATTCATGTACTTGTCACAGACATCCACACTCTACATGCACATCAATATATCGTACTGACAACAGACGCATCACCTTGAGCTTTTCAGGTACTTGTCTGATAGGAAATTAGTTTAAGATGAAGCTATATTCAAATTGTTAGAAGAATAGAATAGAATATAAAAACAATCTCAAAAGAATTCGCTCTTTGTATGGTTGCATCTAATTAAATAATTATTCGTACAATCTCAAGCACTAAACCAGTCATTTTACATAGGCCAATATAGTTAATTTAGAAAATGACAGTACGGTTATAGACTGCTAACCTTCCCATTTCGAAAATATTCTATAATATCAGAAATTTGTTCAATGTATAAAACGACGTTCCTTGGAGCTAGGTGACACACCATTTTCACCATATTTCACTCGGTTTTCTCTTCGAGAATATGATGCACTTAGCCGTATGTTTTAGATAACGTAAATACACGCCCCACATTTTCTTTCTGTTATTTTTGTTTTTTTTAGTTTCAACGATATTACCATTCATCACTTAAAGAAATATTCCATATAAAACGATGACTAATCATAATTTTAATTTTTGGCAACAAAATTTTTTGCCAAAACAAGTAAAGGTAGTGATTTATATTGTTCATGAACTATGAAATATTTTCTCATTTTTGAAGTTTTCTACAAACAATTCCGTTGATCACTATCCAAGTATATATTCTACTTTCTCCAGTAATTAAGTAACATACTAAATAGAAATTGTTTTCATTTTAGGTATTCAGGGTTTGGATATATTAAATAACGGTTCATCATCTAATAACAAAAACAGTTTTCAAGCTTTAAAACGGCGATCGTCGTTGACAAATACTATTTCATCATCAAAACGACGGCATTGTAGTGAATCAAACCCCGTTTATCGTGCAGGTAAAAATATACCATTTTAACAATAATTCAGCTAGACGTTTTCAGTTACATTTTTATTTCGAAAATCATATTACTTTTTCAGATGAAGACGACCAAAATGACGAAGACGACGATGATGGTGATGATTCGAATAAAGGAAGTGTGAATGATGATGGCAGTGTCACTACAACTGCGAATAATAATGTAGATGTGACAAATGGAAAATCAATAAAACGAGATGATAATCGAAGACGAGCCGCTCATACAGCAGCAGAACAAAAACGACGAAATGCTATACGAGTGAGAGAGTAGTATTTTAGCTTCGGTTTCATATCCATTGTTATTAGTTTAATGTAAACAAGGAAAACATTATGATAACTTCTCTCAGGCTCAATTTGTTTGTTTCTATAGAAAGGTTACGATGCCTTACAAATTCTCGTTCCAAACAGTCATCTATTAGATCCTATTAGCTCACAAAAAGTTAGCAAAGCTGCAATATTAAAACGCTGTAAGTTATACACTCTAATTACGATTTATTTTTAATTTTATTTAATTCATTTTTCTTATTATAGCAACGGATTATTTACAACAATTACACGAAGAAAAACAAAAATTAAGTGAACAATTAGATGCGCTTCGAAATGAAGCATTTTGTTTGAGAACAATGCAAAAGTAAGATATTCAAATTGATGTTGATAAACGTGATAGTAGAGAGAGATATGCGCATATTGAAACAATGGATCTTGTTTATTTTAGAACATATGAAGATATAGTAAAAATGAATATGAAATCGTCTAAAAATGCTAAAGATGATGAATACAAATTCTCATTAGTGTGTATATTTTAATCATGCTAATTGATCATTTGTTTCTAATTTCTTTTTTTTCTCATTTTAGTTTCAAAATATATCTGACTCAATATTTGTCAGTTTTGATCAAGCTGTAGAAACTATTAATGTGCCATCATGTGAAAATATGATGATTGCCATTCTGAGATGGGTCGAACAATCGTGTCGACCAACGGTAACTATAGAATAATAAATCTAAAAGTTTTGAATTAGAAATTGTGTTGTATATAAATTTTTTTTTCCTTTTTTATAGGAGATTCATGAACTAATTCGACGTCAAGTACAAAATTTTCGTCTTTAATAGACGGATCATTAATGATTCTATCAATATTTGATGTGTGATTTTTCAAGTAATCTAGATCAGTCTGTACATAATGGTTACGATTTAGAAAAGATATTTTTGAGTTTCTCATTGTTCATAGACTATCTTTGAAAAAATGTGTATATTTGTCGGTTTTATTTTCATATACCGTCCTTTTGTAATATTCAACTGTTGATCGAACATAAAAATATGTGAAATTTAACGACACATATTTACCGATATATAACAGTAGTTTGATACAGTCTTACACTTACTTTTAATCTATCCTTTTTAGTCTATTTTTTATCTCGTGTTTTGTTGTGTTTATAGAATGTCTGAACTATACTTTATATGCCTTGTTCGTCATTTGTTTTTTGTTTATTATTGAACTGAATAGTGTTCTATTTATTTATGTTATTAGATTAACAAATAACCGGTAAATCTATTTATTATCTCTTTTTCTATGGTCATTGTTTTTTGCTTTCTCATAGTAAAATTATAAATTTTACTTTTATGTATATGTGCGCATGTTTCTATATTATGAAAACAGTACATTAGTTTGAAATTTTTATTGTGAAAATACAAGCAATATAAGATATGATTATTTTTGTTAATTTTATTTTTGTATTTAACTTTAAAAATGTTATTTTTTCGTATTGATATATATATACGAGCATACCATTAGTTGATAGAATAAGAGTATCTTTGTATAAAATTATTTTTATAGCAAAAAAGTAGTAACGAAATATTCTTTGTTTATTTTTTGTTTGGTTGAATGATCGAGAATTGTCGTGTGTTCTCCTTAGTAAGAGACAAGCTATATTTATCAACATGCATTATTCAATTGATCAAGGTTCTTTTAGTAGATTTCTGTTTTTTTAGTATCACTATGGCGGGCGATATAATTATGTTAAGATGATCGATATAGAAAATCCTCCTTATATAAATTGAACACAATTGTTTCTTTTGGTTTATGTTGTTAATATCTGTCATATTTTGATGAAGATGATATTGTTCTCTTGAATTACTGCTCAGATCAAAACTGCTATGATGAGGATGTCGACATATAGACCACAGAATATTTAATGGATGAATTATTGATTCAAGTGGTAATGAAATTCATCGTATCTGATTATACGCTCTTCATATTTTTGTTTTAAACTATGAAATTAGAATATTTTCTTACTCCTCTCGTACCGTATGCATCCAATCGTTTACCAAAAGCAAAAGAGGTTTAACAAACATATTTCGATCATAAACAAAAAAGATTTAGGAGAAAAACATATGTAACTCTTAATTAATTATATTTTGTAGTTTTCCACTATGATTTGTTTCGTCATTTCTGGTGGTCCAGTAAAAGCGACGTATATTGCTGTCTAAATAAACTGCTATTAATCATTTTTAAATATTATCGCATTGTCTAATAAATAAAAGATACAATCATTTGGAAATGAGAAAAAAATTGTTTTTCTGAGGAAATAATACAGCGCTAATGGTCAATATGAACAAACGTTCATATTCATTTCTGATGAGAAAAAGTCAAAGTTGGACTCGATTTTCTTAGTTTCCTTTTGTCATTTTGGTATGTAAATCTGGTGGATGAATGTAATACAACGAAATTAACTGTTCAATCATTCACATTTCTGATTTGATTTGTTACGACCTGAAAGCAGTCAGCTTATTTCCAGATAAAGAAAAATCTTGATTCTTAGGATACAGCAAGATGAATGAATATCCAAGATTAGAAATTGCGACTTCATCGTTCGTAATAAAAATCATTATTTCAAAAAATGTTTATTGCTACGTTGAGGTAATGTGTGTATTTTAGCAACTCATTTCTGTGTTTTATACTTTATTTGCAGCCGAAACAGTTTTCATGCCCTATGTTCTGTTAATTCAGTCGCTCTTTTACAAATAGGTATGCGCCAGTACCAGTTAACTGGGTGGTGATCAAATAATATAAACTCCGATTTTTCCCATGAAGAAAGCATTTCTGAGAGTCTAGTCTCACACATTATAGGTAGAAAATTTAATTCTCTTCTTTTATCGGCTGGATTCGACTTGGCCCGATTTGATTTTCAGAGTTAAATGCTGTATGTACGATCTTTTACGCTGGAGATCGGCTTCGAAAAACTCTAGTAAATATTTTTTTAGAGAATTAAATTCTCTACCTATAATGTATGAGGCTAGACCCTAGAAATGCTTCCTTCCTGGAAAAAATAGAAGTTTATTATATTATTTGATCACCAAACCTCTCCCCCCGCCTTTGGGTATACAAACCGTTTGGATATACAAACGGTTTGGTATCCAGTTAACTGGTACTGGTACATACCTATTTACAAATAAAGATATGGTAATCTATAACGCAATGAATTAAAGTTTTAGGTCTTTCAAAAATAATCAACCATAAAATTAGTCTATAATAAGTTTTTGATACTAGAACACGAACGAACGACATCAATGTAAGTTAGATATTCAAAACCGCCATTTCATCACTTTCGCAATGTGTTGTTGTAACGATGGATAGATAATTCAGAAGGGTTTGTTATGGCTGGTATTTGTAGAAAAGAATCTGATATCGCTTCAAATTTTAGAGTTTCATGAAGATTCTCATGTGACCTATTCCTGCCCAAATCCAAACTTTTTTGTTTTTTTACATAGTGGACGAGTGATTGAAGTCGATATTTGGAACTATTGCGTATAGATGATGTTGAAGGTGTAGAAATTATATTTTCCAAATTCAATAATTCCAGCTGAGATTTATATTTAATTTCTTCTTTTGACAAACGTTTTAAGCGTCTTTTGACATTAGCAACACGTTTTAGTTCAGCTGTTTGAAATTCAGATTCAGGTGGTTTATTAACGGTACTATAATAGCATTTCCAATAATAATCACGTAATTTTGTGTTTGATAATGAGGCTAAAAAGTAGAAGTGACACGATTAGTTAAGAAGTTTGAAGAAAGAACAATACAATTATCATATGCAGTCAATACCACTTCTGAGAAGTTTCTAATTTATCATGCTTACATAAAATTTGTGATTGTTGTTGGTGTTCATGATCGTTTCTTTTATACACATTTATATGTACTGTTGAATAATCTTCATTGTATCGATATTCTCTGTTCATATTCAATACTAGCATGAAAAATATGGACGATGAATAAAATAGTATTGTACATATGGTATACACAGTTGCCCCTTGAAGATCATATTCAACAAGATTAACGTTTGAAAGCAAGGAATTACTAAGAGAAGTTAAGTTGACCATTTTATTTTTTTATCAGAAAAAGTTTAAATAATAAAATGCGTGTTCTTTTCACTGGTGTTATTTGCTATGCAATTTCTGTTTTTTTAATCAAGTGTTTACTATAGAAAAAACAAATTGTTTGGTTCTGATTCAACATCATATATAACGTATTTGCGTTCCATTTACCTTTTAAAATTATAAATACAATAATGGACTACTAAGCTATAATGGAGAAATGATGAGCTTTTATCAAGATCTCCATATAATTTACATTCAAGATGATTAAAAATGAATCTCGTCGCGCTAGCGTTTCGATCCCGCGAACTTGACTACCAAGATCAGAAATTTCAGCACAAATAATACGAACATAATCTTGGATCTGTTTTTTTTTCAGTTTTCAAAAATCGATCGGAACAGCGAAAATACAAAGTACTACATCGAAAACTCACTGCTTTTCAATTGAGATCTTTTGAAATGTTTGTATAATGAGAACTAATCAATGTTTTTAAAATCTATAGAGAATAGATTCACTATTATGTTTGTACTAGTTGTGGTTAAGATTTTCGGCTTATAAGTTCTTGGAGGCGAAACGCTTTCCTGACCGAGAGTCACAGCATTTCAACAAAAATGAAAAACAATACAGAACTTCGTGTAGAACATTCTTTTTTTTGTAATGAATCAATGATACCGATAGATTTTCAACTATTCTGAGATTAATGAGCATGCGTGAAGGCACGTGCATCATTATTTCTTGCGATAGTTTCTCATCGATAGAGCACAGTTAAAAGTGCGTAAATCAAAACGAAAAAAATTCGAAATTCTCATGCCGAAAAGAGGAGTGTTTTTAAACTCATCTTCAAAATTCTCGCTTCATTTCTATCAAAACATTAATCTTGAATACATATATAATTTTGGAAGTTAAGAAATTTTACTATATTCTCACTTATCGACGGCAGAGATCGATCAAAAAAGTGTTTATACATGAATAAATATTTTACATCCATATCTTCTCCCTATACTCAGCATGAAATATACTGATGATGAAAAGTATTATTAATTAATTGGTAGAGAACGACAATCATTTTCCATAACAATTACTCGGCAAGACAGTTTTGTTCTAAATGAGTTGAACAAATAATTGATATATACATCAATGAGTTCAGGGTGGAGACTATTATCACTGGTCGTCGAATAACAGTTTTCGTTTACTGTCTATCTTTAAATATACTATAATCTTTTTTCTAAGCAATAAAGTTGATATATACATCAGAGATAAATCTTAAAAATAAGATATCTCTTTTTGCATGTGTCTTTTGTTTGATGCTATGAGTAACAAATGGCTCTGCCTCTCATCATATAATATTTGCTGTATTCTATTTCAAGTCAGATGCGGACAATGTCCGCATGAGTTATATCTCGTACAAAAAAGAGCTATATGCCATCTCTATTTGTTATATTCTTATTACAGAATTATGGCTAAAAATATGACTTCTTAGAATGTTATTTATTTCGCAATCAAGTTGTAGCTTGTATAAAATTATAATACACTTAAATTAATCATGACCTGAGGCTAAGCTAGATAAGTATATATCTTGTCTATTTTTTCTTTCTTTTTATTTAGATAGAGATCACATGCAATTGGATAGAAAGGAGTGCATTTGTTTTCCAGATGTGTATTGGTCATCAGCATATATAAGAAATATTTTCCTTGATTGGTACGAGACAATTAAATATAAAGATCTTTTTTTTTTCTAAAATTATTTATGATTCGCGTTAGCTACTTAACTAATAAAAAACAACCGAAACTAAAGCAATTTAGTTATTTCATGTTTGATGTATGTATATACGTAGAAAATAGTAGAAAATATGTCTTTTGTTGTATAGTAGAAAATATGTCTTTTGTTGTATAGTAGAAAATATGTATATTGTTATTCACAACTAGAGTTAACTACTATAAATCATTATTATCTATGTTTTAATGGGACAAAAATGTACCAGACTAAAAAAATATGCTTATTCCTTTTTTTTTTGAGCCAATATGTGTGTGTATGTATGGATAAGACTACAAATGGAAGTTTTCAAAGAAAGAGTAGGACTAAAGAAATATATATAGAGAGTATTAACAGAACAATAAAGAGTTCTAATGATAATTATTTGAACGTTTTCGTGTTGAATGTTTATTATTATCTTGACTATGTTCATTTATACTTGTTGTTGAATTATCGTCGGAATGATATTCATTGGATGAAGGTGTCACACGACCATTGTGATCTTCACCATTGTATGACGGATGAATGACAGTACGAGCAGTATGTTCTTGTGCTTTTGCTCTTAATACGGCTATACTTTCACTACGAAATGTTTCAGGATTTGTTGTACAATAATCACCGTCTTTTGATGTAGAATTTGAATTTGTACAGTCTTTATCAACTTCATGTTTCATATTTCGTAATTGTTCAGCGGCTTCCAGTGATTTTCGATGCATACCTTTAACGCAATAATAAAAGTTGTTCAATAATACAATATCCCATGCTATTACTTACCTAATAGCCACGGTGCGCATGAACTATCGATACCATCTTTAGCTGATTTAACAATTGTATCTGGTAATGGTAAACTATGTCTGACCATGGCACCATATAAACCATATTCGGCCATCACAGTTGCTTTGCCCCATGTTTTTTCTGTTTTTCGCCATTTAGCTCGTCGATTTTGAAACCAAACCTAGATGAGAAAAATATTAATTTTATTATATTTAACGATTAAATATTTTTAATATAAGAATTTTCTCTTTATTTTATTTTTTCATTAATATTTTTTGAGTTTTGTTTCATTTATATTTAAGATGAAATGTAACGATGTGATCATGAGGGTCTAATTATTATTATTCTTAGACGAAATACTATATGACAATTATCGTGTCATCATGTATTCTTGTAATTAATTCATTCAAATCTTGACATAACGTTCAAACCTGTGATAATATAATCGTACATGTCTATTTTATTGACAATAGGATGATCATCATTAGTTGATCACACATTATTTTCTCTTCACTCGGTTTCACGATGACGTAAACGGAAAGAGAAAAAAATGAGCAATTATACTTATTACTGACAGTTGTGAACCGTGATGCATATATTCTTGAAGAGTAACGAGAAAAACAGAGAGAGAAAAAAATAAATAAATATCTTGTTCACGTTTACACATACTTTCACATGTAACTCACTAAAATTATCCAATCATTCGACAGTTTAAATAAGAATCCGTTAGAGAGAAATAAAAAAATATATTTTCCAATCTGTTCTTCTTTTTCTTTTTTTTTCTTTTTTTTTGCCTATTTTCATGACGAATAATGGTGGCGTGCGATAAAAAAAATTTTCTTCTTTTTCTTATAAGCTCATGATACTGGAAAAAATAGAATTTGTGCTTATTATTATTTAATTAATTATTCTTTATTGTTTTTGACTACTACTCATGTGAGAAAACGCTCATTAACAATAATATAGAAACGTGCAATGAAATAATTTTATCATGCTGAGCGCATATGATATTAGACTGACTATGGATGGAATAAAACACGCGCACAGCTCGTTTACAATCAAACTGCTGGTGCAAATACATTTTCTCTTTCTTTTCTTCTATTCGACTGAGATAATGATGAGAAAATATTTCATTCATCATCAGCAGCCGCATCAGCATTGCCAAAATATAAATTAATGATGTACATTGATTAATACACTACACTCTACACTAGAATTTGAGACTAATATTAATATAATTTTTGTTTCATTTTAGGTACATAAAATGTTTTAAGCATATAAAACTTCTGTAATATACTGAGTTATTTTCAGTTTTATCCTCTTATCATGTCTGTATTCTAAGATTGTATTATTTCCACCGTTGAGTAGGTTTTCGTGTAACATCTCTTATATTTTGTAAAGAACTTTTGAGTACTAAATTTTCTTTCATTCAAAAATAATTACTGATAAGACAATTAAGTAGCAGGCAACAAAAAAATCTTGTCTCGCACCAATATGCGATAATTTAATTGATCAGCCTCTATATCTCTACCCCTATACAGATGAAACCGTGATTTTTAAGTAAACAAAATAAGCAAGCATGTATAATAACATGTTTGCATTAAAAGCGATCAATCATTTATAGTGAAGGTTGGAAACAATGATGACAAATTGATATGACATTTAAATTTATTAGTAGAAAAACGTCAAGAAGTCAGCACGGAATGTCAGTCAAAAAATAAAGAGAAAGAAATCTAAGGTAATAGTTATTGTTAGAACCAATAGGAGGTCATCGAACTACAAATCAAGTAATTATATCCGTCTCACATTAAGAACACTCTTTTTTTCTTCTTCTGCTCCTTATATACAAATGGCATATATAATAAATATAAAATATACTATAACATACTTGTATTCGATCTTCGGCTAAATCTGTTTTTAATGCTAATACTTCACGAGCAAACACATCGGGATAATGTGCATCTTTAAACGCTTTTTCCAGTTCTTCTACTTGATGACTAGTAAAAATGGTTCTAAAAAAAAGAAATTTGTAATAAAAAGAAATTAGAAAGATTTTTAAACTGCAAGAATATCATTATTTCAAAATTAATTAATGTATCTATTTAAAGGAAACAAAGATAATTTTAGACCTACTTTCTCTTGATAATGAACTACGGATGAAAGTCTGACAGGTCAGAGTAATCTCTCTGAAAACAGTTGCTGAAATTCAAATGTTATCTAAAGACATTCGAATAAACCAAATTCTAGACGTAGATTAGATCAGTGACGATGATGATCTGAGACACCATAGAGGATAAAAGTCTTTCTAGGTAAAAGAAACGTTTTATTTTATTAACATATATTTATCCTAATAAAAATAGGTATTTAGAGACTGGTATATAATGTTTGATATCTCATTTTACTTTTAGAGATATCAGAAACAAACAGTGCTGTGAAATAGACAAAAAAGCAAGAGGATTCAGTCCCGATTCGTCGACACTCACTCTCACACCGCCCCTCCCGCCTTTGAAATTCTTTGATGTATATTCTTTGAAGTGTCCGATTTGTCGACGAATCGGGACGATACCAGCAAGAGGAATACGAGTTTTGGGAAGAACGATGGATATAAAAAGTTTTATTAAAACTATTTTAAAATTGAACTTGCATAATACACTACTCCTCTCATCGCACAACATTTGATGATATCCCAATTGATTGAACGAATCAATGGGAGAACTTTTTTTTCTCTCACTTATTTCAAATCTTCAAAGTCCACACATAGCTCTTGTGTGTCCGAGTATGTTCAAGAAAGTCTGGGAGAAAATCGAAAAAGCAGAACAGTTATATACTTTCTTATCATGTTCTCTTATCGCCATGGAACTGGAAGCGAACATTTGTCTACATCATTGTCGTGCTGAATGTCTTTGTCCTCGAATAGTTATAGTCTTTAAATTTTGTGAATTTAGTGTATTTTCAAATCTGGAGTAGTGTTTATAGAATCGATCTAATTTACCTATGTCGTCTTTTGCATTTCTTTTTCTTACAGGATTTAATGTATGAATCATCAATACAACCCGAAACAATATCACGATCTAAAACGAAAAGAAAGTATGAAACAGATAATTCAGATAGTTTGTTGTTGTTCTAATCTCAACATTTATATGTTTCTTTTACTTTAGACAGAAGCAGTATTATATGAGAAATCTTCCAGTATTTATATAGGACCGTCACACAAGACGAAAAATACATTTTTGAGTGAGATCAGTACTCGATCGTCATGACTCATATATGGGTCGACTAGTGCCAAAATTAATGCAGTGAACCTCTCGAATAAAAAAACAAAAGATTTTCAGTACATATTTTGCAAAAAAAAGCGTTAGACACTTCGCAAAACCTAAAATTAAGCCCGTTTTTGAATTTGAGTATTCTTTTTACTCCTTTTTTGAGTTTTAAGAGTAATGAAAGAAAACTTATCTTACCACACTAACAGAAGAATGATACGTTTGATGATATTAAAAAATTTATTTAAACATATTTTAAGAGAATGATACCATCAAAGATCCAACAATTTTTTTGTGATATTGGATTTCTGGAGCTATTCTAGAAGCAATGAGTTTCAGCAGCAATAGAAAGATCCTGAAGTAAAGTTAAGGTTGCCAGTCTCTTATATATAAATGTATTCAAATATTCAGAAAAATCGAAATTTCAAATGATCCGCTATCGGATAAAGTTTCTCTTCTAATTTGTGTGTTTTTTTTTTGATCGCTTCAATATTGATTTGATTGAGAAGGTGGAGGAGGAGAAAGAGAGGAAACCGATTATTATCATGGAGTGTGAAGTTGAAATTGACAAAATTTATCTTTAAAATCAAACGTTAAACTAATATGTATCTTTCAGGTAAGCAACAGATACATGTACCGACAAAAACAACATGATGATAAGTGTTATCATCTTGTTGTACATTTTCAAAATAAATGCAATTTAAATAGACATTTGTTTTGTACACTTGACTTCGAAAGCAAATTTCTTTAGTAGAGTAATGTCTTCGATTGTAAAACAAAGGTTTTGAGTTAGATCGCCCCTTTTGCTTACTTTTCTTTGTTGACTAGACTCAGTGTCGTGCAAAAAACAAAGCTTCCTGAAAGTTACTGAGACTACATAGACAGCTAATGTTGAGAGATACGAAGAACTGTTCACAAAAAAATGTTTTTCGAAAAATGTGACTGACCTTGACTTATAGTATCAAATAGTCGTACTAAAATAATATTCCTGGAGTGTATGAAATGGAATGATATGACACAAAAACGATCTATCTCTCGATAAAGCATAGTTTTTCTAGAGTTCAATCATCTCCTAATTGAACGAGAACAAAACGAACTAAGCAAATCAGATGAACAGAAATAATTGAAAGAATGTATCTTTACAAATGTCTAAGTAATGAGTTCTTACCAAGATTTTCTTGTGATGAATCCAATGTTGTTTGTGAATTTGTCGTCATCGATGATGGTGAAAAATTAAAAAAATTTGTTCCATTTGTTGCTGGTGAATTTTCATTGTGATTGGCTCCTGCATTATGATTAGCGGCGGCTGTTACGAATGGATGTGGGAGAAAACTTGATCTCGATAAATAAGCACTGTAAGCGGCTGCTGCTTGAGCGGCAGAAGTTGAAGATGAAGAAAAATTTGTTTGTGAATATGATGGCACAGTATCCAAATAACTTCGTGGATGATAGGAACTTATCGGATCATATCTACCACCACCAAATGGATCTGATAATCCCAATATTTCTTGTATGGCAAATGTTGTTCGTTGTGGATTAAATGATGAATTTGCTGCTGCCTGGGCGGCTGTTTGAAATAAATTTGCATTTGAAAAATTCATACGAGCTGACGTTGTTGAAGGATAAGATAAATGTGCTAAACTCATTGTATGATTTACAATGAGAAATGAAAAAACATTTTGTAGGTTTTATCGAATGATTAGGTTGTGTTCTAATTTGCTTTATTAATTGATTATAGGCTTGATGCGTTTGACAAGTGGGATGTAGGGAATTGTTGCTGACGTTTGAGAAAAAAGAAATTGTTATACAGAGAAAAGAAAGAAAATAAAAAAAAGAAAAATGAACGTTGACATAGAGTCGTATATAATTTTTCTTTTCTACTTGCTACTTAACTCTAACATGATGAATTCTTTCCTTTTCTTCTGTATTGTTGATGATTACCAAAACTAAGCCAATCGGAAACAAAAAAAAATGTTTGACATATACTTGTGCAACAATTGGCTAAACAAGCCTTATATTTTCAATGAGCCAATCAGATAGAAAGAGACATTTTTCTTCTATATAGAAGAAGAAAAATTGGGTTGTTAATATGATGAATAGAAATCAAGTATAGGAAACGCAAGTTAATTTAGAATCAATTACCATTCCCAAAGAGAGACGCTAATTATAATGTACTAACTATCATGTATGTTAAAATCAGATTTCAAATCTTTTAGCAAAACTCTTATATACTACTATATATCAATTATTTTTTGATATTGTTTTATTTTTCGACCAATCTTATTCATTTCAAAATAATTATTCATTAAAAACCAATGTTTTACTTTCACTATACTATTCTTGAATAAATAAATGAAAGTTGACTAAAAGTTTTCCTAGCTTGTCAGAAAGAGCTCAAGCAATTGAACAATAAAACTCGATGTCCGGTTAATCGTTAGACAAAGCTGCAGTCTGATGGTCAAGAAGCAATGGGAGACCACTTTCGAAGACTGCTGACTATAGTAATGGTTTATACTAAATCTTTTGATTAAAATTATTGTTCAAAAGAAGGTTTACAATAAGATACAGAAATGGTGGATATGTAGAGAGGAGAAATTATTTATTAAACACGTTGTACCTCATTAAATATGTACCATATAGAGTTACGAAACATAACAAAGTGTTTTTGAAAATCTCTGCCATTTGTTTCAATTGAATGAAGATATTTTTTTGTGGATATTTCAAAAAGAACTGATGCATACTAAAGAGATAGATGGATTGATCTTCAACAAAAAAAATATAACTATTGAAATTAAATGATGATTTTTTGATGACAAAAATAGCTACAATTATATTGGAATGTATCACTTTCATTAGATTTTTTTTCTTTTTCTTTTATTTGTTATGTCGATGAAGCGAGGAATTTGAAGCGTTGTCATTCGATGTGCGTATTTTCTCAAGGAGATAATTATATAATTATTTTTCGAAAAATGTGTGAGATGCTCCATCAATACCAATGGTTCCACTTAAAAATAAAGTGTGTGACAGACATTATAGTGAGTCAATAAAATGATTTTTGTTGAATTATTATCACTATTTTAATGTAAGAGTGATACCACCAATTGAGGGTGTTGAGTAGAGAATGACTCGTCTTCATTGTTCAAACTATTTCATGGTCTAATCATAATAATAATATGTAATTTGTAGTTCTAAATTCTTATAAATAGAGTTTTAGTCTGGGAAAATACCGGCCCTCAGTGATCTCAATTAGTTCTGCATCCATTATTGTGACCTTTTCGATGACAAAATCTTGTTCTAAAAAAAAAGAAACAGACTCCTATATCTATTTTTTCTTATTTCAGTAGAAATTCTTTATATTTTTTCTCTTCTAGGAAAAGGTCATATAGTTCTCATTGTCATATAAAATGTAGAATGGATGTTTGTAACAGTAACAAAGCTAATTTTCCTCCTATTGTATCTTCCTTTGAAAAAAATTGATCAAAAGCACTTCATATTATGAAGATGCTTCTTTTTATATTTCAATTATTACTAATTTAGATGTACAACAGTTAATAAAAGTTGGTTACATGTGCGCATAAAATTTTTTTCTTCATATTTATACACGATTAGAAGCGGCATACCGTTTGATTACAGTAGACTACTATTTTCTTTATAATATTTCTTGATTAATATTTGATCGTTTATTGTTAAGTCGTCATATCCAAAGAATTTGATTTCTATTTAACAGATTTATGAAAAATATTTCACTCTAGTAATATTTAGAATTTTTTAAAGAAAATTTTTTAAATTATAGAAAGATAAGTAAAAATAGATTGTGATATATCTCTACTATTTCAATAATTTGATATTAAATTATCTCTCTATTTTTTCGTATACACTCTTTTGGTCTAAAACGAAGAGATCATCAAATTTGTCTAATGAGAACTACTACACAACATTTTTATTTATTAAACACGTAATTTCTAATTGATATGTTGATCATTATTGTCCTTCGATAACCTGACTAAATAATAACAAAAACATCTACATTTTATTAAAAAAAAGAAAAAATATTGAAATTAACATTAATTAAGCTGAACTTATTTATACAAGTGTTTTGAAGGTAAAAGCATGAGCTTCATTGAACACATACAAATACTATTCCATCAATCAGTGTAATTTTTTAATCCTACAATAAAAAAGAAAGAAAAAAAATTGTTCAACTATTCTCTAATTTCTCCTCCTTCTCCTTCTACTACTACTACATGTGTTTAGATATTAGTGGAAAACGTTTGTATACATATATACACTGTGTGTGTGTGTAGTCATCTTTTTCTGCGTGTTCGATGTCGAACGCATATGGAATTCATATTTTTTCTCTTCATTAATTGAATCATCGGCCAAATAACAGAACAACATATATAGATCTAAATCGTGCTGTTTGTAACAATAGACGCAATCAGAGGGTGGGCAAAGTGAAGGAATTGTTTAAAGTGATAATCACCAATAAAGGTTTCTAGCTTCAGGAGAAATAATGGAGCATAATTTTACAAAGATCGAAATAAAAAAATAAAATAAAAGTCTTTTATATAAATAGAGAGAGAGACAGAGGTAAGTCGAGTTCTACAGCTATGTATAATAAATTATGATTTCAGATTCTCTGTAATAATTAAGTACTTTATACGAAATAAATAAAATTAAAGCAAGGAGAGTTTAAGTCAGAAGCAAAACAAATAAATTAATAAATAATTTCATGTTAATTCTAGATTTGAATAAGATTGAATCATTAAATGCCGGACAATAGCAACATCTTTAACAAACTGATACGTGATGATGCTTTAGATCTTGCCATAGTTTATAGGATATCGGAAAAAGACTATTATTAAAAAGAGAGTAATTATTGAACAATATGACATTGAAAAGCACATTAAGTTGATCTATATAGTACAATATATATTTTTCATCATTTTCTTCAGGCTAAATAATATTTGATATTTTAATAACCACTTTAACATGTAAAAATTTCTAACTAATAAAATCATTGAATAGACATAGTCATTCTCATTTTATTATAGAAAACAAAGACAGGAAAAGACTGCAAACATTGTAAACTCAATTAATATTCTTTGCCTTTTTCTTTTTTATCGTTTACGACACTAGACTACTATAGTTTTAAAGTCAAGTCTAACTATCGATTAATTATAATATGAACTCAAGAGAGAGGAAGAAAGACATATAGATAGAAAAAAATAACGGAACCTGTATGTCATAAACAATGTTTTATTAGAATTGAAACGATTTAAAAAAAAAAGAAATGCTTTTCGCTTTTGTGACAAATTTGCGTGTCAATAAATTTCGACACCGCGACTGATTTTGATCAAATCTCAGCGGATTACTGTACATGCCTACAATTATAATCAGATTTTTTAATCGAGAAAAAAAAAAAAACATTTGTAATAATCATTTACTTACTATGGAGAACATGTATACCCTAGTGAAACTTTTTACCACTAAGATTTTCAGTTGAAAAATGTCATAAGATCTTGAATTTTTCATTTTTATATTCAAGATCTCATATATGTCTGATAGTTATCAAACATACGATTCTATATGGTTGTAGGTTCTACGATGATCAACTATATGTAAGAAAAAAAAATAGAAGTTACTATACGTATGTAAACTTTTATACTTAAATGCCAACAAGAATGTAATTCATAAAATGATTACCAACAAAAAGAATTATCAAGATCTTGGTCAAAGAAATCCACACATTTTTAATATATTGAAGATCTTGATTTCTTAAAACTTCTTTGTTACGTTTTCCTATCAAAATCTTACTGAAAATATTCAATATCTGAGTTACAAGAAGTAGAATGGCGAGTAAGTATTGTCCTTGACTACCGATGGTTGTATAGATTTGGTTTATACGTGCGTTCTTCTAAATGTCAGACAATGATTAGAATATGTGTTTCTTGAATTAATCTGATTTTTTAGTAGATTGTAGAAGACGATGAAAATTGATGTTAAAATATTTTGATTTAAATTATTTTTCTTCATCAGCTGCATGTTACATCAAAGTGGTCAAAAATCGAAAATTATTTTTCTTATCATAAAGGTTTCAACCAACTATCTGATAGATAATATAAATAGACAAGAACTCTTTACTCCTATTAATCGTTAAAACTCATCAGAATTTGATTGAGATCTATATGAAATACTTTGCAATTGTATGTAATTTATGGCTATATAAAGATTTGTGAAAGATGATGTTTGACCTTAGGTCCTCATTTGTCTCCTAGACAGAAAAACTACTACATCAAATCCGACTAATTTTTATGAGTAGAGGATTAATTTCATATATAAATCTTGGAAAAATAGTATCCCTTACACTTCGTGAAGATATCCGAATTCAGATACGATTTTCAAAATTCACGGATTAAACCACTAAACAAGTATAAAAATAGTCATCTATCTATCAGATCTTTATGATAAGAAAAATAATTTTTGATTTTTGACCACTTGAATGTAACATGCAACTGATGAAGAAAAATAATTTAAATCAAAATATTTTCACGTCAATTCATCATCTCCTACAATCTACTAAAAAAATCAGCTAAATTCAAGAAACATATATTCTAATCATTGTCCGACATTTAGAAGAACTTAAATAAATTACTATTGTAAACTGCTGTTTATCGACAACATGCAATCAAAAGACATATGATGATCATTATATATACCTATACATAATTATCACATCCTATGCAAGAAAACTTAAGCAATGATATTTTTTTGTGAAACTGATGAAATCAGCCGACTATAACAGTAGACGTAACTTATTTTTATTTACTTATGAAACTTAATGTCATTAAACAGTTTTTAAAATCTATTTTTTTGTAAACAAATACTATTGAAGGACGAAATAATATAATTAAATATTTGCTTTTAAATATCGTCGATCTAGTTATTCGTCTTTAATATCACCAACAATAGCAATAGCTTCAATTTCAACTTTTGCACTCTAAAAAAAACAAAAATATTCAAGTTGATTGATGAATATGACGGAGAAGTTTTTTATATATATAACAAACTTTTGGTAGGGCAGCTACTTGAATTGTTGATCGCGCTGGATATCGTTCCGAAAATACTGATATAGACAAAACAGATATTTTATTTTCAGTAAGAGAAAATATATCATAGTATCACTACCTTCTTGATATACTTCGTTCATAGCTGAAAAATCATTCATATCTTGTAGAAATACTGTTGTTTTAACAACTAGAATAAACAATTGATGAGTATATGACAGTTTCATCTCTTTCTTTTAATATTACCATTGCGATATGAGCAATTAGCGTCTTTTAATATTTCACCAATATTTTTCAAGGCCTAAAAAGAATATTAACAAAACTAAATTACAGATAATAGTTCAATTCAATAAATTTTGTTTAAATGATGATAATGATTCATGTTCAAACTCTACATACATTTTTGATTAATAAATAAAACATGAACTGTGCAGAAAGAAGGACAGTTATATAATAATGCAAAATTCGGGAACTAAAGATGTCCCTTGTTCTGCTACTTCTACATTTTATTTCACGGATGCATTGTTGTTCTCGATTCTGATGTGATTTGTGTTCATGTTAGCCTTTTCGAATCACAGATGCGTCTGAATGAATCATAGTAGCAGTACATAATACCACGCTATGTTTCTGAACCATATCTGATACAATGATATTTATGTGAACTACAAGTCGAGATTTGTGATCCATTCTGATTTGTTTCAAATGTCATTTTTGTGCAAATTTTGTGGGTATATAAGCTACTTTTGCAACATCTTACAATTTTGTTTGATTATTCATCTTCTATTCCAATTTCTTAGAAAGTTTCTTAAAATTTTCAGATTCTTATTCATTAATCGTATTCATCCATATATTGACGTTTTTTGACGTATTTAGGAAAACTAAGTATATTTAATATAATTAAAAAACATTTTTGTAAAATCATTTTACATAAAAAACGAACTTTCGTTACGTTACAGTATCATCGTCAAACTAACTTATCATTTCATTAATTTTTTGCTGTTTATTCATTTAATTGTCTATCTTTCTGTACAGTTCATGTTTTATTTATTAATCAAAACATGTACAAAATTCGAGAAGCAACGATAGTAATAGTCTACCATGTACTACACAAAGACAATTTATACATTTAACGAACAGAACAGAACAAATTTACTTTTTGTCGAAGCCAAGGAATATAAATCTGGTATGTTTACTCTTTATCCTATACAACGACTGATATTGATTAAAATTTAATGACATTAACTTCACTTACTTGGCGTGCTTGATCGGAGACAGTACTACCAACAAAATTACCACTTTTAGGATCAATTCCAATACTTCCTGATATATAAAGTGTTTTATCAACTTGAACAGCTTGACTAAAACATAAAGAATGTTGCTAAGATTAAAATTAATTTGTATAAAAAAAATTTAACGTTTTTTTCTCCAATTAATCAGTTAATAGAATTTTTAGCTTGTTTGGACAATTTTATCTATGTCTCATCAGTTTTAAGATAATAATACATTCTGATAGTAGAAGAAAACTGATAGTAAGTAATAAAAAAGATGAAACAGAATATTGACTGTATATTGTGTTTTACTGTAAAACTAAGTTCATGTGTTCAAGGCTCTATGTGCTGAAAACTCTTTATATTTTTCGATAGTTTAAAGTATTGAAATACAATAATAGAATTTATTTCCACTCTATTCTGAAAGAATAAAAATTAAATCAAAGTCGATCTAAAGCTGTTTAACACTGGCTCTTTGGTATGAAAAGACAATAGTAGAAATGGAATAATACCTGTATGGTCCCATGGCTTGAGGAGCCGTCGCAGATTTAATAATTCTACGTACAATCTGTGACATTATTCAGATTTTAAACGATTAATCTAAAACAAGTTTCATTCAAATAAAGTCAGTAGCTTAAAATATTGTCATGCTAAAGTTGTTTCGATATAAGAAACCATCAAATATGTTAACATTTGCATATGAGCCAATGGAATTTTTAGTGGTTAATCGGTGTTCAAGATTGCTGATAACTGACCAAATAAAAAAAATAGACTAACGATTAGTACACATAGAAAAAAAACCATATCAAATGCGATAAGGAAAGGAAACAAAATTTATTTCATTGTAGAACATGTACGTGTAAAGATGAAGGTTTGGATTTCATGTGGCATTATATTTTTTAAAACAATAAGAAACAGTGTAAAAATAATGAGCACCCTTTCTTTGATAATACAAGATAATTTTACTTTCATTCAAGTACATATCAAAATAAAGATACATGACAGAAAACAACAAGCGACGTGGATTATTTCGAAAAAACAAAAGAACGTGTGCAAATATATCAGTTCAGACATGAAAAATAGCGTCTCTGCTCGTAAACATGTCATTATTATTGGTTAAGAAAGGTTTTTGAAGGAAAAAAAAACCATTTCTTTGACAGTCTCTGCTGTACAATAAATAAATTCAAAATAAATCATCGCTAAGTTTGTTAGTTCCAGAATAATTTCTGTCATGTGATGATATGAATGTGAAGAATTACACTTAGAATTAAAACTATATTGTATATGATTGAAATAAATTTTAATATAATTGATTTCCTATCTTTCTTTGTTTACTACACTTGTCTATTATGTTTTTGATCATTTTTATTTGAATATTGGATAAATAATAACTACAGTTAATCAGAAATAGAAAAACAGGCAGTTTTCAATAAAAAAAAACACCATAATTTGAAGATAATATTAATATGAAATATATATTAAGATAATTAAAAGTTTTTTTTACAATTGTTTTATTTCGTATTGTCCTGAATTAAATCCAACCATAATTTAGTAATATGATTGAACGATTGAAACCCACCATCGTATTGTCTTGAAATATCTTCATCCATAGAAATCATATTTTCGGATGACGCAATTGATAATGATGAAAATGTTGATTCGATAGTTGATGCATTCGATAAAACTGAGGTTAGCTACGAAAATGAAGAACAATGTAAACAAGGAATAAATGATACGGAGCACTGTCGAAATTGAAGTATATCTATAGTGCACGAATGGTCTCTTTTCTCTTCCTAGTTTTATCGATACAATAGACTCTTTTTGACAAGTTATTATCTCAATTTTCATTTAAACGGCTTGGTCGGCTAACTATGTTACCAGAGTAAACTTCTCTAACGTTTTTTGCATTTTGTTTCTATAATTTTCGAATACCAAGGTATGTAAAACTCTGAAACGTCTCAAACTAAAGAGACAAGTGTACTGAAGATTTTGACATGTACCTGTACTCTACACGGTTGTTTTGTTCAGAAAATATGATAAAAATACAAACACTGTTCAAAACTTATCAGAAAAACTAGACAAGAAGCAGACATACAAACATCTAGTTTTTCTGATAAGTTTTGAACAGTGTTTGTATTTTTTGTCATATTTTCTGAACAAAAAACTCGTATAGAGTGCAAGTTTTACATATCTCGCTATTAGAGATGTTAGCCGATAGACTTTTCATCGGCAGCGGCGTGAGAAATTTGCAATCGGCGGCGAACGTAGCGTTTATTTCTACAGAAGTTTCGACCTTCGACGGCGGTAGTCAAAAAATTTGCTGCATCAGCGGCGCGGCTAACATCTCTACTCGCTATTCGAAAATTATGCAAAAAACATCAGAGTTAGCCGGCCAAGCCATAAATACTGTTAGCTATATACAGAAAAACGTCTACATCTTAAATCATATTCTTTCTTCTATTAACATCTGTATATAGAAAACTAACTTGGCTAGTGCACCTGAGGTGTTTTTGTTTTTAATTTAAATGTTTTTTGTTCAATTTCATCCCAGTTGATTATTGTTCCCGTATTAAAAAATGAATGTTTTCTTAGTAGACCATGAGGCGATGTTGGAGAACCTAAACGTTTCTCTGGATCAATTTCTAGAAGAGCAGTTAAACATGATTGTGCTTCTGGTGTAATTGGTTTTAGAAATGGATTTTGTTTAAAAAATTCTCCAAAATCAATTGGATTATCATTGTCATCCGTTGGCGAATAAATTTCTTCTCCACATAACATTTGCAATAAAATAATACCCAAACTCCAAAAATCAACGGGAAAACTGTAACCTTTTGAATCTAGTATCTATAAAAAAATATATCTATAAGTATGATAGAATAACAAATAAGTATGATAGAAAAACATTTTATAGTTATACTAGCTGAAGTACTCGGCGTTGCCCGGGAAAATTCAATTTTGCATACTTAACATATTGGGAAACGACGGTCTTATGGTTTCGTATAAGTTACCGATCTTGAATGTTCCAAAACACACTCGGATTACTTTCCCTTTTCAACTTTTTTTCTGTTTTTCGCATTTTAAAGCTTTTTAAATATTTTTATTCTTTTCAACATGTTTTGTTTTGTTTTATGGGCTTCTTTCATTTAAGAGAGACTATGTGCCGTGAAATACAATTTTTATTGCAAAGCTGTTTGATACACAATGTTTTTCGTTTTCGCATTAGAGGCAAAAACATACAAATCCGTCCCAGTTCCAACTCTTGAACACGCTACATAAAGTTCAGAAAGAATGTGATACATCATGCGCTTAATATATGTTGAAAAACAGTCGCTTTGATGTTGATGAATGCTTGGAAAAACCGCTTTAAGAACCACTCTAATAAATCTTTTTGGTGAACTCTTTGAATCAGTTCTACGTTAGTTTAGTAACTTCTTTAACCCTACTGTTAGTTCTACTTCTTTGCAAAATGTTGTTATCGTTTTGAAATATTTTTTTATTGAAAACTTGATCAAAAGAATATTATTGACATGAAAATATACTAAAATCCGGTTGATCAGCAAATTGATCAATCAAATTTGTTCATACTCCCATACCTAGAATCTCTTGTGTGCAATGGCGAAAATCTCAGGTCTTTATCTCCTATCGTTCTCCGGTTATTAAGAAAACAATTGTACGCTCAGACTTTTTGGATGGGACACTTACTCTAGCGTTTCAACAACAGGACTACTAAGTACCTCGCGGGTAAAAATTTTGAATCAAAAAGCAGCTCTTCACCCGAGGGGGGAGGGACGCAAAGAGGTAAAAGCAGGGGAGAGTACTCCAAAAATCGGAGAAAATTCTCTAGTTTTTTTGAAAAACCAGAGAACATTTGCTGCGGTTTTTAAAAACCAGGGGAGGAGCCTCTTCCACCCCTCCCTCGGTCGCGCCGACCCCGTCTTGACCTTCTCCTGGACGAAAGGGTGTGTCATGCAAAATTTGGTTGCACTGACTCTTACATAACGAACAAACAAACAAACTTTCTTCTTTATATAGATAATAATATATATAGATAGATAGATAGATAGATAGATAACGTTAGAACTCGCAAATTCAGTACTAGAGAAATACTTGTGTATATTTAAAATTAAAAAAAAGTTTCTATTTCTTACTTCTGGTGCCATGTAGCCTGGTGTTCCACATATAGATGTACATTTTTCATCCACATTTCGTAATATTCTGCATAATCCAAAATCAATTAGACATATATGTCCACTTTCATCGACAATTGTATGATCCAATTTCAAATCTCTAAAGATAGAAAATCAGCTAATCAAACAAATATTTGACTTTATATTTGATATTAAGTTTTCTACCTATAGACAATATTCTTTGAATGTAAATATTGTAAAATGAAAGCCAATTCAGCCACATAAAATCTTATTTGATCTTCAGATAAAAATGATGAAACCATTTTGTGTGATAATGTTTTTCCAGCAATATATTCCATTACAAGAAATAAGTTACTCTAGATAAAAGAAAAAAGTAAACTAGGATTTTGTAATTTAATACTAGTATGTCATATCATTGTTCAACTGTTCACTCTTCAATTAACGAATTATTACGTACATCTTTATGAAATGTACAATATGCTTTAACTATGTATGGATTGTCGTTTGCATAGCGAAATAATATCACTTTTTCTACTTCGATTTGATTTCGTCCTTCAGCATTTTTTCCATCAACGACTTTAATCGCTAATATTTTCTTTGATTGTACATGTTCTACACGAAATACTTTGGCATGAGGCCCATCTCCCAATTTTTCAGATAATTTAAAGTCTTCTAATTTTGGTGTTATGATACCGTGTGGTATGACAGGCAACGGTTCTAACCAACTACGATCAAATGACGACGATATATGTCTATTTAGTGAATGTAGATTTGGTTGTTGAGCGGGTAAAATAAGACCTATCACATGAGCAAAGCTTTTGTAGGGAAATCCACACATTGATGGTAGTAAAGATTGACAATGATGATGAATAGTAAATCCACATTCTAAATAGTAAATTGAAGAGCATTAAAAACTCAATACATAATGTTAATGTTAGTCTACTGTAAAGAGCTGTAAAAGAAAACCAGTGAGACAAAATGCACTTGATATTAATTTGTTGAACGTTCGAAGAGACAGGACATTTGGAAAACTTTATAAATCGGTTAAAATCAAACATTTCGAGATCTAATTGGTCACGCCATAAATCAGAATAATTCTTTCGTTACATCCGAACGGAGAAAGTTTCCCAGCTCCATTTCTTTTCGAAAGCGACAAGATGAAAATTTTTCCTTTTTCTGGTCAATTTTAGTAAAATCGCTTTTTGTGCTAGAAAAACACCTTCAGAGCGAAAACTTCTGACACACAAAAAGAAAAACATCATTTGGATTCTATTTTGATGCAATGATGAAGAATAACTGTATATTATTTCACCTATATTCTATTACTTTTATGATAAATAAAAAAATGTTCCATATGACTTTTGTAGAGAATTAAACGAAGAACCATTTACACAACACAATCAGCTCAAATAGACTTAGTGGATAAAGAGATATCAACAAAATACTGAAAGGGCTGTTATTTCCGATTCACCGGTTAGTTTCAATAGAACAAGTTCATTAAATAAAAAACTTTTTTCACCTGACAAACTAGACACTAAAACATGCAAATCATCATGCACAAAAAACAACAAAATAGTTAAATGCCATTCATACCAGTGTTAGAGAATAAAGCCCATTAATTGATTTGCAGCAAATAGATCATACGTGTGCATTTTAATGCATTTTGCAGAATTTGAAATCCACAATGATTACAGTGACCTAAAGAAGAGGAAAAAAAATTATAAATAAAAATGTAAACAGTAACAAGATAAAGAACAATACCGAGATCAGAAGTAATAAGTGATCGTATTAATGGTGGTTCATGTTGTTGAAACATATGAGGAATTTTAACTTTTAAACCCTGAGTATTAGATTGCTATAAAAATTTGCTGAAAATCATAACATCAAAGAAAAATATAGTACAGACATACAATGAACGGCGAACGAACACAATTAAATGGAATTTTTTCTGCACAACCTTTATGTGTAACTAGATTGCACATTGTACATTGATAACCGTGAGGATCTAAACCCCTGAAAAACGATATCTTTTACAATCAAATATTTCTAGAAACTGAACATGTTAGACAGCGTACAAATAACTAACAGGTGCGAATAAAGTGCGAACCACTTTTCTTTTCTTTTTTTTAAGATACTGAATTAAAGTTTTATGTTTTTTTTATTTTTAACTTATTAGACAGACAATTCTCTGTATCCGGTAATCAAACGTTGTTTCATTCTTTGAAAATAATAAGCCAGAGTAAGCCAGAATAAGCCTTAAGTAAGAATAAGCCAGAGAAAGAACAGATGCGAAGGATAACTACGATGGAAGGAACAGGTTGTACGTGTTCTTATACTTGATCTAATTAATTATTTGATAACATTTCTATTAGCTTTTCATTATATGTATTTCACGTAAACAGTTCATCTTTATTTAATTAATTCTCAGTATTCTATTACTATTAATAGATGATCCCAAAAAATACATCATGTTATACACAATTTAATGTCATCTGAAAAAGCTAACTGCTCTTATGCACTAAATTTCTTTGCAATTTCAATATAGTTGTAGGTGATATAACCAAAAAGATAGCGCTGAATCCGTTGAACATTTATGTTCCAACTCTATTTGTTTAATTTTTACATAATTTTGAAATGTTGAAAATTCGCTGACGTGGCATCGCAGTTATCCTTCTTACTCTTACTTATCCTTTTTTTTACTATGGTTTATTGTTTTTTAAATAATGAAACAACTTCTGATTATTCGATATAGAGGATAAAATGGAATAGTCTCTGTCTCATGAGTTTAGCATGAAAGCATAATTATTCCAGTATCTTAAAAATAAAAGCAATCTGTTATTTATGAGATCATTCGTTAGTATGGCCATTTTCGATTGAATAGATTGACATACCACATAAACCTTGTACATATTGAGCAAAAAACTGGATAATAAAATTGTTTTAATATCATATCATGATGCATGATTGTTCGACAAATTAATCTTGTCGGTTTTTTCGATAGCATGGTGTTAGCTCCAGCAATGGATAAACCTTGATAGAGATAAAAATGATCAGATATATCAAAACAGCACTTTTCTTATTATTATTTACTTTGTTTTTGACTAAGACCATAGACAAATTCTAGTGAGAATTCAAGGTTAAAACCCCATCCAAAATGAATCTATATTGGAAAAATAAAATAAAAAATTTCAAAAAAAAATTAAACAAGATGATTCTTCGTTACAATCAGCTACTAGAAAAGTATATATTAGAGAAAACTGAACATTGATCATCTTCAAAAGTTTGAATATCAAATATTAGGATGAAGTTCTATCATCATAAGACAAATACTAGATTAAAAATTAAACAAATGGGTTTTAGTACGTACAGATTGGTGTGTATTATCATGAGCTAAATGTAATAAATAATCTTTTGATAAAATAAGATAGTCTATTACTTTTGATTTGGTTTTACTACACAATTTTAAAATTATAATTTGATAATAAGAATCAGCATTTAAATAGCAATTAAATGTATTGTTTAGCGATAATATAATAGTTGAAGAATGATCCATTTCTTCGAGAACATCTTTAGAATCTTAATTGTATATAAAAAAAACTCATATACAATGGAAACATTTTTCAAATCAAATAAATGAGATATACATACCGGTATAGTGTACACGTCTTAACTTTTTTATTTGAAAAACAACATGTGTCAACGGTTTATTTGAAACATTTGTGAATGATAAAAGTTTCACGCGTAATACATTATCTGTATTCATTTTTCTTTGTTTATCTGAAATAAAATAAAATGTTATAATCGTGAAAAAATGATGAAAATTTTGGCTCACTCATTATAGGAATGAGTCTTAATGTGTATCATCTCAATCAATGAGAGCCTATAGTTTGTCACAAACAGTCTATTAAATGTTACAAATACTGAATGCCTTTCGTTACAGTCCTTTTACAAACGCAAAGACAATGTATATTTTTCGACTTTTTTCGAGTATAGATGAACACTATACGTACCAGACGAAATATTAAAAAAAATAGATCAGTTTTAAGAAAAATACCAACTATAAAGATACATTTGATCCAATAATATAAATTAGACAAAAAGACACATTGTACATAGTACGTACGAGAGATATCTGGCATCTTTTAGAAAATTATATCATACAGAGAAAATAAGAATAAAAACAATATTATAAATATCCATATGAATTTCCAAATAACTTTTGAAAGAGCAATATTTAATTTTATAGCCAAGGTAAAGAAATAATAGTGATTTTTTTCTCTTTCTCTTTCCTATGGTTGTTGTCAGTGATATGAACTTAGTTCAAACCAACTGTTTAAATTCAACTATTGAAGTCTAAAACAAATCTTTGTCTTCTCTCAGACACCATTGTCTTGATGTTAATTGTTCATAATAGTGACCTGCTATTTCATATAACCAATTAGTTTCAATGACTGTTATATCGGTCATAAATAATTTTGACGACTGAATAAGTTCATTAAATAAAATCATTCGTGGTAATTGATTCATATTGTCATAGGATAGAGTTTGAGATAAAATTGAACTTGGATGAATATAAAGTAATTGTTGTGAACCTTTCAGAGTTTTATAAGTATAACCGTCCATTTCTAATTTAGCGGCATTCATAAAAAAACAGTCTGTTAAACATTTTAATACCGATGATACTTCACCATCACATGACGATTGAATAGTTGACTTTCGTTCATTGTCTAAAAAATAAATAAAACAAAACTAATATAACTAGTCTTTTTTCTTCTATTTGAAATTCTGCCTACCTAATAGACGTTGTAAATATTTTTCTAATGAGTGTTTTATTTCCAAAATTCTTTTTAATGATTTAATATTTAGAAAATATTTTTCACAAAATTTATATTGATTTGACAGTGGTTGCTCTTCGTAGGCTTTTATAACATTCAACTGTGTTATTAAATCACCTTCTTTACAAGCGAATTTTGCATGTTGTTTTTGAGCTTTCGCACGTTGATCACCGGGCGGAGAAATGAACACATTTTTCACTTGTAATGAGGCAACAATTCGTAATATTTCTTGGGTACATTCATATTTTGACGATATTAACAGTGCTCGAGAATGGGTAGGATGAAGAGGTAATTCAGCCATTTTAGTACCTAAAAGAGAGATTTTAAAACGTAAGTACCTTAGTATAGTAACAATTATAAATAATATATTATTCTACAACAGTGAACTCTTTCTTACCTATGTCTGGTGTCAAATAAGAATTGTGGTCAATTGCTTTCAATGCATATAAACATTCAATTGATTGTAATAAATTTTTTGATGGCGGTGGCGACGGAAAATCGAACCGTACTAAATTTTGTATACCTAATGCTTTCAGTTGAATAATAACTGTAGATAAATCGGATCGTTGCATTTCAGGCATTTGAAATTGTTTCATTTTTAAATACTCTTGCTCTGGGTATAAACGATAGGCTTTTCCAGATCGTACTCGTCCAGCTCGACCAACTCGTTGTAGAGCAGATGATTGACTTAAAGGTAATGTTGTCAATACTTCAAAACCGAATTCAGGATTAAATAATTTTAATCGAACGTAACCACAGTCAATAACGTAAACAATACCTAAACGAGAGATACGTGAATATTTTTAAGGATTTTACGGACTAGTCAATAGAAAACAGAAATTTTTGCAGGAGTGAAAAGGATATTTACATTACAAACCGAAGTATACAATCCCCCCTCCCTTCCGTTCCCCATTTCGCATAGAATACAATAACTATGATGGCTGATCACTTGAGATATTATGTGAATAGAGCTTGCTAATCACTCAAGAAGTTTCACATTAACAAGATATCTTATATGTATCGTTTCTCCTTCTGATTCGAGAGGAGGAAATAATTCTTCCTGCATGAGAATGCAGCATAAAATGTACCCACGAGTATTTTCTAAAAAGAAAACGCGGTCGTCTGTAACGCCTAATTTCTCGCGGTTTTAAACTCAACCGCGGTTCATCAAATTTCTATGCGAAAAAAATACTCATTTTTTCCGAATACAAATGCGGTGGACCGCGGTTGAATTTAAAACCGCGAGAAACTAGGCATTACAGGCGACCGCATTTTCTTTTTAGAAAATACTCATGGGTAAGTTATGCTATCAATAATACAAATTTCAGGTTTCGGTTGTCACTTTGGATTATTTTTCAAGAACGTTACTATAATAAGTCTAAGAAATAGCGTCCAGTGTTTGAAATTATTCTAACTTCTGGGATTAAGTAATCGAGATCTTAGAATTTAGATCAATAAAGAGCCATCTCTGGTACAGAACTCTCATCTTTTATCATAACAGATTCATCGGCCTTCACTAAAAACTGGAAGGATGGAAGACATATGATTGATCGAGAAGAAATTTTCAAGCAATCCAGCGCATTGTCTGTGTTCCATTCCATTCCAGTCTTCCCATTTTTAGTAAAGGCCTATTCATCCAAAATTTTATCCATGGTACCCATAATTCTCAAAATCGACACCACACGAAAATGACTTAGGATTCATAATCTCTTTTTGATTACTTCTCTAGTCCGATTAATTAAGCACAATCAATTACATTTCAGCAAAGGTGGCCAACTCCCAGTCCGGATTGATAAGCTTTTTTAACTGGACTGTGACTGGACTCAGATTTGCCTGGAACTGATTATTTTCAGAGGCGTAACTGATTTTTCAGATCAGTCCTGCAACTTTTGGACTTTCGTGTACAGAAAAATCTTTGATATAGACATTTAAAGAAACAGTGTCATTTCGGTAAAAAAGATACAAGATAAAAATATAATCATAGGTGCAAATGGGAAAAAATGTCGGGCTCGGACTGATATTTATAGAACTGAGACTCTAATGGACTGGAAAACAGAGGACTTATCCATCTCTGAATTTCAGATCATTTGTGATTAGATAATTTACAAATACTAAAGACTATCTCTTAGGCTCATTATCGTAACTTTTTTTTATTGATGCATTCCAAGGGATGTCTAATTTGACTAATACTGTACCTGGGATGGTAATGGATGTTTCAGCAATATTCGTTGCCACAATGATTTTTTTTGTATTCGGTTGTGTTCGTTCAAACACTCTCATTTGTTGATCAAATTTTAAATTAGCATACAAAGGTAAAATAATTAATTTTTTTCGTTCATCTGTTCTCTTTTTCTTCTGCGATTCTTGTTCATTAGCATACGCTAGTAAATCACGCGTGATCTCTTGTACATCATCTTGACCAGCAACAAAACATAGAATATCACCACTATCATTGTATTTCTCTTCTTCATGGATTTGAATACAACAGTCGACACATGCTTTACGATAGTTAGGTACAGGTTCATTCGTATGATAAATTTCAACAGGATATGATCGACCTTAAAAGAAGAAGTAGATAAAACTACTCTATTTGCATCTATAGTATGAGTATGTTCTTACCTTCAACACTCAGAATATAACATTGTTTTAGATTTTCATTTTCTTTTGTATTTTCATCCACTGTATCATCTAACAAATCTTGGTATTTTCTTTTATTACTATCTGTTATTGTTATTGTTTCATCTTGTTGTTCAAAAAACATTTTTAATCTTTCACTATCTATTGTTGCCGAAGTAATAATAAGCCGTAATTCTTTCCTTACTTTTTGAATTTTTTTTATTAGTCCTAATAACAAATCTGTTTGTAATGATCTCTCATGAGCTTCGTCAATAATAATGACGTTATATCGTTTCAACAATGGATCATACATCATTTCTCTTAACAATAGACCTTCGGTCATGACGATTAATTGAGTTAAACCGCTTGTATAACAATCTTCAAATCGAATACGATAACCGACTTCTTTGCCCAATAAGCAATCTGATTCATCGGCAATGCGTTGAGCTATTTGAACTGCAGCTATTCGACGAGGTTCACTCATACAAACTAATTTTCCATTACGTGTCCATCCACTCTCACATAAATATTGAGGAATTTGAGTTGATTTACCACTACCTGAAATAAATAAATAAAATAATTGGAATAATAAAAGTTCTTCGAATTAAAAATAACAGCGTTAGTGTACAATAATTATATCTTCTATAGAACAATACGTCTCAATGATTGCACATGCGTATATTTTTTCATATTTGGATCACATGCGCATAAAAATTCGTGTTGCAGAAGAACTGAATCACGTAATTTGTAAAGTTTCAACATATATATTTCATAGATAATGAAATATCATTGACGCAGATTCATAATAAAGTCATAGGAACACTCTTATAAGTCTTTTGCATCCACGATTAGAATCTATACACACTGATTAGAATTATTGCAACATTAACATTAACACCACTTCCGTTTCGAAATGATTCTTATACAAACTTAGATCAGTCGAGAAAACTGATGAACAACTGCACACTTGACAATGAGGTCCAAATTTATTTAGTTTTATTCAGACAAATTAACACGTTAAGAAGTATAAGAGTAACCTTTAAGGGGGGGGGGGGGGGGGGGGGGGGGGGGGGGGGGGGGGGGGGGGGGGGGGGGGGGGGGGGGGGGGGGGGGGGGGGGGGGG